CAGACACCACCATTTTCCACAGAAGTTTTAGTGGAGAGAAACAGAAACACACCATCTCAATCGCCATTCTTGACTTTTTTCTCACTATGGATTCTGAGTCATGACTTCTTTTTCAAAAGCAGGGACACCAGCAGCATTGGGCACTCAATTTTCATAATCATTTATTCTTCTAAATTTGATCTGATATCCTTAAATAAAGGATAGACAATTCATTAATCATTTGCAATATTTCCTTTTATCTCACTAAATGTGTTTCAGGCCTGTAGAAGGGGGACCCCCCCCCCCCCCCATTTTTTTTCTGAGTATAGTATTCTGCTATAGTAAATTTTCTTTTAGATGCTGTTTGGCCCCCGCACACACACACTCTAAGGTCGAGCACTGGCATATTCCAGGATTTGGAGGATAAATCACCTCTTTTATTTATTTATTTTTTTGCTTGTCAGATAATTTTGGGAAGTTGCACCACCCACTTTTGAAACCATTGCTACGGACCCGTGTTTAACATTTGAAGCAATTGATAATTTAAAAAACAACATCTAATATCTGTTAAACAAGCAGGAATAAAATTTTGATATCAATTATCAGAGTATGATTTTACTTTGCCCATTTTAGACAGGTTGCTTACAAAAACTGATTGACATCTATTGTGGAATGATATCATTGTTTGTGGGGGACCAACATCATTCTTTGGATTTTATCACATAGATCAGTCATATCCATGAATTTATATTTCCACAAATGCTCATTTTGACATTTTATCAAACCAATTATTCCTTTAATTGTAATTTGGTTAACCTTAATTATTTCCTGTCCACAAAACAGCAAAGGTATATGTATAAGCGTATAAACACTGACCTCCACAAATTAAAATGATTCCATAGTATTATACAATTTAAAAAAAATGAATATCAGAGAGCCATATATATGTACATGTGTACTAGGGAATGGAATAAAGAATATTTTGAAAGTTTACAAATATATAAGGAAAAACATTTTGCTGGACTGTGAATCAAACCCAGGACCTCTGCATTGCAAATACTTGTATACTAATGAGGTGTTCTAACCACTAAGCTGCCCAGACTGATATCTACAGTCAATATAGCCAAAATTACTTATGATGTATCCGCAGCTACTTATGGCTGAATTTATTAATGTACATGTTTTTTGTGCTTGACTATCTTGTGTCTCTTTGGTATCCTACTATTAAATTCTTGTTTCAAAAAAATTATCTTTTGTTTTTATAAATTCGTAATTTTTTTTCATTATATGAGAATCGACAGACTAGGGCTGTGACTTCATGTCTTACAAATGTAGTTTTAAAAAAAAACTTTACTTTCCCCTGACTTCATTAAAAGTGTCAATATATACATTTATAATCTTTTATTTCATTTATTGTTAAACTATTTAGCTTTTTATCAAAAGAAAAAAATAAGATGATACAAGAGGCCCAAGGGCCTTAATGGTCACCTGAGTATAATACAACAATTTAGAGGATCCATAGAGTATAAAATGAACTGAAAGGTGAAGCTTTGTTGCCAAAAAGCAAGAAAAATAGGGTGATCAGGATCAACAAAATAATTAGTCTAGTATTCATTAACAGTTTATAAATTAGGTTCTAGTCTGTTCCCCATTTATCACTCTCACCAGACAGAATAAAAACAAACTATCAGTCCTTCTGTACTCTTTTAATTCCTTGTTGAAGTTTCTTACATTGGCCTCTCTTGGTCTTTGATGAACATTTAATAAGACAAGTTATTTTTGTCTCAGTTTTATTTATCTATTACTTACAAGTCTACCTGATCATTAAAACTATGAAAGTACTTTTTGTATTATACAATAAAAATTCTTGCATAATTTCTTATTCTATTAACCTTTCAAGTACATTATTTACAGTGATTAATTATCACAAGTAAATGGCAAAGGGGAATAACTCCTCTCAGTAGAATACAAATTAATAGAGCCCTGGCCTGGACCAGAACACTTGACCAAATGGTCTCCTGATGTTCAAAAATCTGGTAAAAATACCCTTCCTTATTAAAACTTTTACTCTTTTTGCCTCTGATATGCCCAGTTGCAGAGAAGATTTTTAAAGCATTAATGCATTTTCACTATATAATAAATAGAGCCCCGCCCTAACATCAGAACCTCTGATCCAGGGGTCATGAAATTCACAAGTTCGGAAGAGGCATCCTTGCTTATCATAACCATGTATTTGTTTAAATAATACTAAGAAGAAGAGAAGAAGATTTTCAAAGACATAACGCACTTTCACTATATGATCTATATAGCCCAGCCCTAGCACCAGAACCCCTTACCCTGGGGCTATGAATTTCACAATTTTGGCAGTCACTCTTTTTTATCATAACTATGTATTTAATTTGTTTAAATAATACCCAGGAGTAGAGAAGGGGATTTTCAAAGAAAATATGCACTTTTTCTATATCATCTATATAGCCCTGCCCAAGCACCAGAACCCCTGACCCAGGGCCTATGAATTTCATAATTTTGGTAGAGTCACTCTTTTTCATCATAACTACGTATTCAATTTGTTTCAATAATACCCAGGAGTAGAGAAGAAGATTTTCAAAGAAATAATGCACTTTCACTATATGATCTATAAAGCCCCGCCCTAGCACCAGAACCCCTGACCCATGGGGCTATAAATTTCACAATTTTGGTAGAGTCACTCTTGCTTATCATAACTATGTATTCAATTTGTTTAAATAATACCCAGGAGTAGAGAAGATGATTTTCAAAGAAATAATGCACTTTCACTATAATTATGATCAATATAGCCCCGCCCTAGCACCAGAACCCCTGACCCTGGGGTCATGAATTTCTCAATTTTGGTAGATTCACCCTTGCTTATCATAACTATGTATTCAATTTGTTTCAATAATACCCAGGAGTAGAGAAGAAGATTTTCAAAGAAATAATGCACTTTCACTATATGATCTATATAGCCCCGTCCTAGCACCAGAACCCCTGATCCTGGGGTCATGAATTTCACAATTTTGGTAGATTCACCCTTGCTTATCATAACTATGTATTCAATTTGTTTCAATAATACTCAGGAGTAGAGAAGAAGATTTTCAAAGAAATAATGCACTTTCACTATATGATCTATAAAGCCCCGCCCTAGCACCAGAACCCCTTACCCTGGTGCCATGAATTTTCTTAATTTTGGTAGAGGGCTCAATGCTTAGGCCAAATAAAAAAATATGTGTGATTCCGGTTACCCGACCTTCCCTATTTTATACCCCCGATCCTAAACTTTTTTTTGGCAATTTTCATATTTTTTCAGGAATTTCCCCCGATTTCCATCAATGGCTCCAGTTTAAGTTTTAGTTTCAGCAATGACGGCCTCCTTGCAAAACAGAGTGCAAGTGTTTAATAGTGTTAAATCCAAAGCAAGCTAGCATGTAGGTGTCCCCTACCAATATTGACTAGTATATTATCACACCACATCTAAATGCCATTTGCAAAGCAGTGATAGGTATTATTTAGAAAAAATTAAGAAAATCATTTTGTTAAAAAAAAAAAAAAAAAAAATCCCTACCTACCTACCCTAATTTTTTTGGAAGTGTAACCAGAACCACACTTATTTTTTTGTTTGGCCTTATTACATTCATGCCAACAGTTTGACTGCTTGATGTCCAGGAGTAAAGAAGAAGATTTTTAAAGATTAGATTAATTTTGATGGTTTTGGCCCCACCTCTCAGGCCCAAGGGAGGCAGGGGCCATGAATTTCCCATTTTTGTTCCTTTTCACCCATAGATGCTATATGCCAAAATTGGTTGAAATTGGTTTGCTGGCTCCAGAGAAGAAGCTGAAAATGTTCAAAAGTTTATGACGCACGACGACGGACAAAAAGAGATAGCAATAGATCACCTGAGTGACTCAGGTGACCTAAAAAAAAAAAGAGAAGGAAAAAAATTAAACTAAAATTTTTTTAAAAAGTGTAATCTTTTTCTTGTGTTATGTAGTTCTTGTGTGTAGGATTGAGTATTTAATTTTTGGCATTCTGTTATATTTGTGGAAACACTAAAAATATATCAAGGGCCTGAATTTACCTAATGCCGATATTTACAGGAAGTTTTCGAGGGGCAAGGTCAAAATCCACTGGTGAGGTAGTTTGATGCAGACAACAATTGTTGTCTTGCACCAAGATTCAAAATAGAATATTGATTGTGGATTTATGTATTTAAAAGTGTTTAAAGTGTAACAAAAACAGGATATACTGTGCAGTTACGCACATCAATTGTTTATAAAGAAGTGATACGATGCTTATTTTGACCTTGTTTACAACAAATTATAGGGATTTGGATTTATATGGAAGGCTAAGAAGCAAGTTATTAATTTAAATACATGTAATCTTAATAATATGACTACGCTTATTAGAAGTTAGATCTCTATTTTTTGGGCTCTAAAAGCAGTCATGTCACTAGAGCTAAACATGCAGTTGCTTCGATTGTTTTTAACATGATGATTACAATATTTCACAAGAGTTCTTAAGATATATGACATGAGTCATACCTCTTTTCTTTATGCAGTGTATAGGCTAGCTCTTCTTAAAAAACTTTGATCCCTTCTGTCTGAGTATGAAAGTTTTGTCAAAGACATAATATATATAGTTGGCAAGTCTCGGGCGTTATACCTTTGGACGTCAATCAGAACAGAGCATTCCAAAATGTGTTTGACGTCGTTACTTCACTGACGGCAATGTACGGAAAATCACGAATAATGATGGATCCCCTTCGGAAGTGGCGGCCATTTTGGCAATGTTAAATCCCCGTAGACTTTGAATTTGCTGCCGTGTCAGTACACTAGTTGACCTCACGGGTTTCGGATAAATGCAGGAAGTTTGGAAAAAAATCAATCTTCCGATCGAACCTAGGTTGAAAGCCAAGGTATTTATATATTTTGAGATATCTTGCAAAAAGAGGTGACGTTCCGGTTGTGGGACAGACTATATCTGAAAATGGCCAAATAACTCTTACCTTTGGTTGGCTGACAAGAATTATGGTTAAAACAAAAACAGCTTGGAAGACAGCACAGACCCAGTTAATAGTAATCAAGGAATTATTCTGCAGAATCTGTCCATACACAATTCCAGCAAAAGCACTGAAATTATCGGAAAAATCAATGTTAATCAAACATGCAGATTAAAGTCAACTAAAACTTTTAAGCTTATTTTTTTGCTTTTTTTATGAGCTAACTGAAAAGTTTAAAGAATATACCCCAGACAATCTTTGAATTTTAGATACTATAGACTTACTTTATCCATGTGGGATTAATTTACGCTTTGAACACTGTCACAAATTTTCTTCGCATTGTCACAGCGTACTTATAGTGCTTTAATTGAATGAAATTGTATTAAATAAATGAAGATATTATAAAGTTTTTACATTACTATACACATACATATACATATATTTTATGCATATATGTATATATCCTTGATCGGTGGAAACAACATCAAACAGGTGTATTAAGAATTCACAGATAAGGCACCCATCTGATAGAATTATTGTTAGATTTATTTCATTTGACAGAACTCTGTAAACTGTTGTGAAGATGAAATGTTTAGCATCTTAGCAAAGTAAATCTGGCATTTTCAGATATCATGTTACTCATAGCATTGATATTTTTGGTGCCCATAGAGATTTCGATTGACCAGTTTGACTGTGATCTTTTACTTGTATTTTTTTACTTTTGAATTTCAGAATCCATCTGAAAACTATACAGTGTGAAAGACTAGTCTTTCTACATATTAAAATCAAGTCTTTACTATTGGTTCTTCAGCTATTTATGTAATGAAGCAGTTTTCACATACACCCTCATTTTCATCTTCTTTGCAGAGATCACTTTTGAACAATTATCAGCTCAGTATAGTGACCATGCTTACTTTAAAATTGAATTCCTTTGCAAGAACAATAGGAACAAGAGGCCCATGGGCCACATCACCTGAGCACATTAGCTAGACACAGAACAGTTCAGTATTGAAAAGATTACTGGGGGTTGGGGGGGGGGGTGAATTTTAAACTACCTGATGATGCTTCCATGTCAATATAACAAATGGCTTTGTTGTACTTGAGAAGATTTTAATAAAAATTTTCCCATATATTCCTACGTAAAATTTTGATCCCCCATTGTGGCTCCTCCCTATCCCAGAGGTCATCATTTGAACAAACTTGAATCTACACTACCCGAGGATGCTTCCATCAATATGACTAAACATAGCTTTTCTGTTCTTGAGAAGAAATATTTTTTCTATGTGTTCTTATGTAAAACTTTCAATCCCCATTGGGCCCCAAACTACCCCTGGGGGTTATCATTTGAAAAAAAAATTGAATTTACACTACCTGAGGATGCTTCCATATCAAAATGACTAAACATGATTTTCATTTCTTGAGAAGAAGATATTTTCCAATATGTTCCTATGTAAAAAATTTTTGATCCCCCATTGTGGCCCATCCCTATCCCAGGGGGTCATGATTTGAACAAACTTAAATCTATACTACCTGAGGATACTTCCACATAAAATGATCAATCAGGGCTTTGCTGTTCCTGAGAAGAAGATTTTTAAAGATTTTTCCTATATATTTCTATGTTAAACTTAGATCCTCCATTGTGGCCCCGCCCTACCCCCTGGGGGTCATGATTTGAACAAACTTGAATCTACACTACCTGAGGATGCTTCCATATAAATATGACTTATCATGGCTTTGCTGTTGTTGAAAAGAAGATTTTTGAAGGTTTATCCTATAAATTTCTATGTTAAACTTTGATCCTCCATTGTGGCCCGCCCTACCCCCGAGGGTCATGATTTGGACAAATTTGAATCTCCACTACCTGAGGATGCTTCCATATAAATATAACCGATTAGGGCTTTCCTGTTCTTGAGAAGATTTTTAAAGGTTTTTTCCTATATATTTCTATGTAAAACTTTGATCCTCCATTGTGGCCCCGCCCTACCCCCGGGGGTCATGATTTGAACAAATTTGAATCTACACTACCTGAGGATGCTTCCACATGAGTTTCAATTTCCCTGGCTTTGTGGTTCTTGAGAAGATTTTTAAAAGATGCTATTAATTTTTCACTAATTCTTTATTATCTCCCCTTGAAAGAGGGCGTGGCCCTTCATTTGAACAAACTTGAATCCCCTTCACCCAAGGATACTCTGTGCCAAGTTTGGTTGAAATTGGCCCAGTAGTTCTGGAGAAGAAGTTGAAATTGTGAAAAGTTTACGCTTACGACAACGACGACAGACAACGGACAAATTTTGATCAGAAAAGCTTACTTGAGCCTTTGGCTCAGGTGAGCTAAAAAGCATGGGGTTTTCTGTGATTAGGGGTTCCTAAATAATAACTTTTCAACTGTTAAAAAATGAAATTAAATACTTCTACATTTATTATGATAAACTGTATGTTGCATTACTTATTGAATGACCCTCGTATGACTAATGAATGGCTTAGCTATTCTTAATCAGATTTTTTTTTAATATGTAAGTCATATTTGTATAGAAGCATCCTCAGGGACATGTATTGTAGATTCAAGTTTGTTCATATCATAACCCCTGGTAGTAGGGCTGGGCCACAACAGGGGATCAAAGTTTTACGTATAATTATTTCCAGATCATGACAAGGAGCACACGGCGGGTGTGACCGGTTGGCATGGAATGCTCACTCCTCCATGGCACCTGATCCCACCTCTGATGTTTAGAGGTCCGTGTTTGCTCTGCTCCTATTTTGTATTGTTTAATGGACTTCTGAGCTTGAATACTGTTTGTTATCTCCATATATTTCATATATAAGAAATATCTTTGAGAATTTTTATTCTCAAGAACAGCAAAACTATTTTTAGTACATAATAGGAATATATAAGAAATATCTTTAAAAAAATTTATTCTCAAGAACAGCAAAACTATTTTTTAGTCATATCAATACAGATCGAAGCATCCTCAGGTAGTGTAGATTCAAATTTGTTCATATCTTGACCCCTGGGGGGTGACAGACCTACTTCAATAAAAAAAAATAGGTAGCAACTGATCCTTCTTCAAGTGATCAGCACTTGGTGAAAGTTGTGGGTCTTTTGGATGAGATTCTAAAAACCAAAGCACCGTTATGGCATGGTAGAGATTCCTCATGCTTAATAGCCCTGAAAGTGGAGTAAAGGTCTCAGGGTTCTCCATCATTTCAAATTTAACTGTGGCGCAAGACTTACGCGAAATGATAATATTCACTTTCATTTCGCGACCGAATTCGCGAAGAAACCAGGAAATAAATTGAAAACACACAACCCCTATGAATCAATAGTTTAATACACAAATGGCATTAATTATTTGGCAAATTGATTAATAGATTTAATACTAAAAACAATAATAGATATCGATTAAGCATAGTGTAAAACAAAAATTAGGATGTTTCCAAAATAAACATATAATGTGAAAAAGACCCCCAACACATACATACTAGAAAATAAATAAATATTACCTTCTAGAATCTGAAAAAAAATAGTACCAGTAATAACACATTTTAAGCATTTAACCTTTTTTTCATAATTTTGTTTACAAAAGGTAACTTCCACACCTACAGTGTTCATTATAGGACAGAGGAAATTCTGGTACATGTAAGACACACAATCACGCTAACATCTATATATTGACATTTATTAGTCAGAAGATTGAAGTATTTTATAACTTGTAAATTTAAAAAAAAAAAAAAACAAATAACACTAAAACAGTTTAGAATCATAAACTTATATTTTGGTGGATTTACTTGTATTGTTAATTTTTCAACGTTACAAAAATACACAATTACGATACATGTTTGACTCACAGTTCTAATGCAATATTTTAGTGACGTGGTTATCTGTAGAACTATTGAAGCAAGAATTAATAGATATTAAAATTTCATTTGTAATTATCGTGAAGTATGCAAAAAAAAAAACAAAACAAAACAAAAAAAATGGCTTGTCTCTTTTCATTCATGTGTTCAGCGAAGTCTACAAGATAATTGCATGATTGTGCAAGCCAAACAATATGGGCCCTAATTCGAGTAAATTAACAGTTTAGCTTTACAAACTGAAAATCGGTACATAATTTGGAAATTCATTTGATTTATAAATTTATACATTTATTCTTCTGACGACGGCGATCTTACTGTGGGGTTGATATTTTAACTGTTGCGGAACTATGGCGCTGATTTTTTAACTGTGGGGCTAAAAAATTTAACTGTGGCAGGGCCACCACGTTAAACAGCCCATGGAGAACCCTGGGTCTGATTTTGAAGTCCTTTACTGGTATATGGTGACGTCTCTGTATAAGTGAAAAATTCTGAAATGGGACGAAAAATCAGTCATTCAGATTCACTTGAGGATAATTGTCATATGGCATGTGTGGTTATCTTAACTAGTCTTTCACACTGTATAGTTTTCAGATGGATTCCAAAATTCAAAAGTAAAAAAATACAAGTAAAAGATCACAGTCAAACTGGTCAATCGAAATCTCTATGGGCACCAAAAAATATCAATTCTATGAGTAACATGATATCTGAAAATGCCAGATTTACTTTGCTAAGATGCTAAACATTTCATCCTCACAACAGTTTACAGAGTTCTGTCAAATGAAATAAATCTAACAATAATTCTATCAGATGGGTGCCTTATTTCCTTATAACACGCATTCTCTGTAAGCACCAAAAAATCTTGGAAACGACATGTCTCGGATTTTGATGAAATTTGCACCACAGGTGTGTCTTGGTACAAAACTAGCAAATATGGTGTCGGAAGTTCCACACGTGCACTCGGTTGCCATGGAGACGGATCCATTGAATTTGGCCAATTTTGGCCCTTTTTGAGCAAGTGAAAACATGAAAATTGAGGAAATGCAAACGAATATTTATCGGTATCTAATACACTCTAACAAAAATCATTGGATCATATGATAATTAACATGAACTTTTAAGGTACACAGGGCATATAATCATTTATTCTAAAAATATTCCCACTCTAAGAAAAAGGTCATGCAAACTGACATGGTTTCTGAAAATTTGAAAAATGGGAAAATTAGTATTTTTTAAGATATTTAAGGCTCTATAAGAAAAATTGTCCGTGGAAAATTTCCAAAACATATGTGTGTTTTTATATTTGACAGTTAGTAATGTCATCTCATGAAAAAATGTCGGTGGGCTTTTGATCCTTTTTTTAGTAACATGTATCTATAAATAGATAGGTTTTACAAAAATGTAAAAAATCAAATTTTGGCAAAGTTTTAGATGTCATTGCTGGATAAATAGGATGTATATTGTAAAATTTAAGATGTTAATGACAGCAGCTGGACACCCCTAGCTGGAGTGTACAATGGTTGAGGGGTATTCCCATTTCTATTTATAGTATCAAGCACCTAAATATAGATATGTCTCTGAATATTAGGAAAAATGACAGTTTATGCTAATTGGAAGCTTCATAGAAAAAGTATTAACAAATATAAAGCTTTCTACAATATGCTTTCAAAAAGAACAAGTGTTTGTACAATAATTAATACAATATTGAGGGTCGACTTTTGTTTCCTATTATAACCTGTATATGACGTTTTTATGTTTACCCATCTCATGTCTACATATCTTTTCATTTGCATTTTTCGTATGGGAAAATGTTAAATATTGATAATAAAGTTTACGTATAAACTGCCGATTTATTATGATGTTAAAACTTTCTATATATGTTTACATTTTATATGTTAAATTCATCCTCTTTTAAAGAAAAGTAACATTTAACACACCAGAAAAATATCGCACCTTAAAAAAACATTCGCATAAGATAAATACCATTTTCAGTAAAAAAAAATGTTGAAATTGGTTAGTTTATGTCTTTATTCATATTTATCCTATTTCATTTACGATTTTGACGGTTAAAAAAAACACTTTCCTCCTATAAAAGTGTCTACTCCAAATATATACGAAAGGGGGTATACTTAAATTTTCAATTATCACATGACTGGAAAGTGCGTAACATAAATTATTTTCATATTTTTAGGAAGATAAGGAATTTTTCTACAAGATATCAAATTTTCATAAAATTTCGTGAGGGGCCGAAAAACGGCCTTATTGAAACTCCCCCTTTGTTGGTGCTTACAGAGAATGCATGATAAATGCTTAAGAGAAAACACAAGTTGATGGTCCAATGGTCTATTTAAAAATGAACATTTTTACAAAAAAGAAGATTTGATAAACTTGAGCGATAGATGTCATAACATGGGTGAAGTTTTTTTATAGCCAAAAAGGATAAAATGTGGAATCAAAGAGAAAGCTGTCATCCTATTATTGCAAAGAGAAGCAAGGGCTCCAAATGTGTTTTATAAATTTTCTTTCTATTCAAGAGGTCCAGTAAAACATGTACATACAGCCAAAGGAAGAACTATCAATGGTAACTTTTATGCTAAAGTTTCACTCAGGAGAGTTAAGCAGATATCTTGCAAAGCAAGTCCAAATACTGGTCCTCAAGGTATTTTTCTGTACCTGACAACGCTGCTGCAAATATCCATAGAGAAATAAATAAAATTCTGAAGAAAAGTAAGTTTACAAAGCTTAGCCACCCCCCACATTTGCTAGATCTCAGCCATTATGAGATCTTTTTATTCCAAAAATGTATGAAAACAATCAAAGGAAGACTTTAAAATTTCGAGTCAAGTATATGATTGAAAATGCTATTCATCAGTGTCTTTAAGGCATCCCTTAAGATGAGTATTCGAAGTTCTCTGGTCATGGGTACAAAGACTTTAGACAAGTGTAAATGTTAACAGGGAATGCTTTTAGGGATTGAAAGTATTAAGAATCTGCTTTACTTGCTTTTCCTATTTTTAGATGACATTTTGCATTATTTATTGAATGACCGTCTTCTTAATACAGAAGAACCCTCAGGTACTGTAGATTCAAACATTACTTTAAATTGGTCATAATTTTTTAATGAAGAGAAAGGGTTTTCATATTAAACATGTAAATTATCTGTGACAACATCTTTCCAAATATACTACCGGTATGATTTTTCACCCCGTGACCTTGAAGTTTGACCTACTTTTCAAAAATTTCTCTCTGCTTTTAACTTTTGATTGAGAAGAGATAGAGCTTTCATATTTAAATGTGCATTACCTTTGACAACACTTTTTCAAAAATAACTATGATTTTTGACCCCTTGACCTTCATGTTTGACCTTATCATCAAAAAATTCAACTTTGGTGGTTACTTTTGAATGACATATAATAGGGAGTTCATATCTGACAAGTGCATTAGGGCATTCATATTTGACAAGTGCATTACCTGTGTCAAAATGTTTCGAATGTGCTATGATATTTGTCCCGTGATCTTGACCTTCAAGTTTGATTTTATTTTTTAAACATATTTTATCAGTGTTGCTAACTTTTGAAGGAGCAAAGATAGGACATACATATTTATACCTGCCTTACCTGTGACAAGCATTTCCAAATGTACGATGATTTTTAACCCTATGACCTTGACCATGAAGTTTGACATAATTTTCAAAAATTTTAACATTGCTGATAACTTTTGATTGAGAGAACATGTTACCTGTTTCAAGATCCCTCCGATTGTATACTCAGGTTTTGGATATTTTTTTTCACTTGTGCATTTTACTTGTGACAAAACCTTTCAGATTGTATCATAATATTTGACCTCATGACCTTGATCTTGAAGTTTAATGTAGGTTTGAGAAGCTATAATCTTTGCTGAACTCTTATTAATTCAATAATTTATTTTTTTGTATGATGCACAGACAAGACAGGACACACAAACAAGAAGTTACAATATGCCATAAATAATGGCAGGACACACAAACAAGAAGTTACAATATGCCATAAATAATGGCATCTCCCATCCATTAAGACTTGGAAAGCGGGGGACCACAATTCTTTAAGTTTGCTTGTTAGTAATATTAATAAAGAAGCCTCCTCTGGTAATGTAGATTCAGATTTGTTCAAATCATGACCCCGGGGGGTAGTGCGAGACAACAACAGGGAATCAAAGTTTTATTTGGAGATTAATTAAGAAATAAACAACGTTATTCAGTGAACATGGCGTTATGAATAGCTAGCTAGCGCATCATGGAAAATATGCCAGCAGAGCTATTGCTATTCATAAGGCCATGTTCACTGAATAATTGTTGTTTATTTTTTATATTTGCATTCTGTGATGTTGTCAAGAATATCAGAGGAAATCCTGGCTTACAAAGGGGCACGGCTGCTTGTTTTCAGCAAGCAAGGGGGTAGGACAGGGCTACAAAAGGGGATCAATATTGTACAAAGGAATATACATGTATAGGAAAAATCTTCTCAAAAACAGCAAAGCCATGATTAGTCATTTAAGAAATAAACAACAATGTTAAGTACCAGTCCATATAAAAATCAGACAAAAGGTGATACATGAAAGTTCTCAGAATTTGATGATTTTCCACACATAGATTTCTCTTGCACTATGATCCATGTACGTAAATTAAAAAATGTTTTGGTTCATGGTTACTAAGGAAACCTGGCCAAAGAAATTTTCCTAACAACCGGGCTCTTTTCCCGTGTGGTAGGATGAAAAGTCACTTATCTTTTAAAACTTAAAATAAATGTAGATATGCATAAAATTATTCCGCTTCTCTGATATAATGAAGATACACATTTTAAGTATTTTAACAACCCAACACATACATATCAAAGAAGGCACGGACTATCCCCCGCTCTGAGAGAAGACATTTTTCAATTTTAAAAGTAAAGGAAAAGTTATATTTTTTCAAAAATTAAAAAAAATATTGTCAATATAATTTTTTACACATTTGCTTCCTATAATTTGTTGAATAAATTATTGACAATTTATTTTTCACTAATGTTTTAAGGTATGTGCAAAAGAAAAAAAGCTTCATGCATGATGCGAACTCTCTCAAAAGCTCACGGTAAGACATCAGCCTGAATGCGTTAACCACTACGCTACGAAGTCTGCTTGTCTTTTTTGATGTCAGTAAAATCATTTAAATAAACAAGTTTGTTGAAGCGTAATTTTTTTCAGAAATGTTCGTTTTTCATATAGAATGGGTTCAGACTCCATTTTTTTGAAACATTAAATAGATTTTACATTTACTTTTCCATCATTTAAATGTTAATGAATAAACAATGGCTCCTGCCTTGTTAAATGCTTTGTTTTCTATTAGGTACAAATGCATTATACTCACTTTAACAGTCCTAAGAGGCAGAAGATGTAGTTCATCTTGTTTGGATCCCTGGACTTGTAAACAGCTATACATGCTGGTCTGCAAAAAATCACAAATCATTGGTTGAAATGAGAATTCCTCATGTGCCTTTACTTTCACTGCTTTGTATTCATGACTTAATGTTAAATATCTAAACATGCAATGAAAGTCTAGTTTTAGTTTGACTCATTAACAATCTTAATTATGAAATACCCTGAGGATGCTTTCATATAATATCACTGATCACGAGTTTTGTTCCTACATACTTGCATCACCATAGTTGCCAACTCACCTGATTTCATTGGGTTACACCCAATTTTCAACCCTTAATAAGGACATTGACAAGTCACGGTTATCAGGAGAAAAAAGGTTTCATTTTTCATGGGTTTTAGTTCATGTTTTTTTTCACTTGTAAAACTGTGATTGAGAGTGATCTCCCGTGTAGAATTCTCTACGAAGTGAAAACCAATAAAGCATAGGTTACAGAGGTAAACAAAAGCAAAAGAGCTTCCTTCGATGGGTAAGAATCATCTGTACAGCAAGAAAGAAAAGCAGTGATGGCTTTGTTGTACATTGTGTTCAGGGGACAGACAGTAAACAGTGGTCAACAGGCTGTTTTTTACCGTACCTATGCTGGGAAGGACAAAGATGTGACAAATGCTGAGAACAGTTCCTATAAGGTTGTGTGAAGAAGGCACCATTTAGTATATATATGAACAAATATTAAAAACAAATCCATGCCTATATTTTTATGACAATTTGTTTCAAATAAATTACATAATAGAAACAGACAACCAGTCATTACCATTTTGAATATTACTAATTAGATGTTAAGGGAAGTAACTCAAAAATAAAGATCAGTGTTGGTAGATCTGTGTTTTGTTTCTATATTTGCATTTTCAGTCAAAATATCTAGATATCACAGGAAAAGAGCATACAATAATGTATATACAGTTGCGCCGCGTTTATCCAGATGCCATTTATCTGGACACTTCACCTTCCCGACGAAATTTTTTGGGAACTGATTTTTTCCATATTATTCTGTCTCATTAATCTGGAAATTCGCGTTCCACATCCGTACGGTCGATTTCTGCTACAAAACGTAATAGTTCATTGAAAAAAGACTCGTTTATCCGGACGGTGATTTTTCAAGAAACGACGTTTTCACACTTATCTTGCAGTAGTGTTAATGATTGTAAAAACATTGGCCATGCAGTCAGTTTGAAGAGGGTTACCTGTGACCTACAAACAATAGCATCTAAAATTATCGTGTGTTTTCGTACCCCAATTAATTCACAAGTATATCATGTCTATTATGAAGCTCAAAGAATTTAGCTTACACTGTGCATTAATTAAATAAGAAACCATTAAAAATCCATAATACTGTTTATAAACTTAAAGTACATTACTTTAGAAAAGAAAATATAAAACTGGCATTAGATATAGAAGTTTATTAGGTTTCAAGGTATTTTTTTTTAATTGAAATTTAAACTTAGAGTCTGTAGAAAAAAAAGTCATTATGATGGCTTGTGTTTAAGTTGAATGTTTAAAATACTTTCACTGATTGCATGTGTTTCGAGTTAGCTTTCAGTGTTCAGTTACTATAGCAGCCCTGTGTAATGAATACAAGAGGCCCAGGGGCCACATCACTCACCTGAGCACTATGCCTAGGAAAAAGCAGAAATCAGTTCAGTCTTGAAAGGTTGAAAAGTTTAAATATAAAAGTGGCTCGGGGGGGGGGGGGGGGGGGGGGGGGGGGGGTCATGAATTGAACAAATTTAAATCTACATTATCTGAGGATGCTTCCATTTAAATATGACCAAACATGGCTTTGCTGTTCTTGAGTAGAAGATTTTTAAAGATTTAACCTATGTACTCCTATGTAAAACTTTGATCACCCATTTTTCTCTTTGTGAATTCTGTGCTCTTTTTATTATTTTTTTTATGAATAAAAAATCTTTTTAAAGACCCATGTTAAATTTTTAGGTGTCTTTACAACGAGCAGATATAAATGTAATTTTACGTGCAAAGAATATCACAGTTAAGGATGGTTATTCAGACAGAAGACCTCTCGTTGCTCGCAACGAGTATCTAGTTAAGGTCTTCCGTTTTCACGGAAGACCTTATAGTGATTCTACTGTTTCTTATTATTATTCTTATTTTTCCTCCCATATTTTGTGCACATGTTTTCTCAAAAACTATTCAGTGGTTTTCAATGATTTTTTCAGGGATAATGGACACTATTATGATCTTTGTGCCTTTGAGGAGAAAATTCAAAAAATCTCTTTCGGTTCCATGTAATGGCCAATTTTCTGATTTTGAATTGGATTTTTGTCTTCCTATCTCCTTTAGAACGGCTAAAGATATGAACTAGAGACATGTCAAAGATAATAGAGCATGACTTGTAGATGTTCTGACCAATTTTTTGTGTGTCGTCGATGCTTCCGGTCACCACCGGAAGCAAATTTCAAAAATGAATTTTTTCAACTTTTTTGTTTTTCATTATTTTTCTTTCATATTGTTATGGTTAATAGAAACACTTCTAAAAATACTTAATATATATTTTGTTTTAAAATTGATGAATTCAATTTCACCCATTGTGGCCCAACCCGACCCCCAAGGGTCATGTTTGAACAAACTTGAATGTACACTATTTAAGAATGCTTCCATATAAATATGACCAATCATGGCTTTGCTGTTCTTAAGAAATAGTTTTTTTAAAAGAATTTTTATTATGTGTTCCTACGCAATACTTTGATTGCCCATTGTGGCCCCACCCTATCCCCGGGGGTCATGATTTGAACAAACTTGAATCTACACTACCTGAGGATGCTTCCATATAAATATGACCAATCATGGCTTTGCTGTTCTTGAGAAGATTTTTAAAGATTTTTCCTATATATTCCTATGTAAAACTTTGATCGCCCATTGTGGCCCCACCCGACCCCCGGGGGTCATGATTTGAACAAACTTGAATCTACACTATCTGAGGATGCTACCATATAAATATGACCAATCATGGCTTTGCTGTTCTTGAGAAGAAGATTTTTAAAGATTTTTCCTATATATTCCTATGTAAAACTTTGATCGCCCATTGTGACCCCACCCCGACCCCCAGGGGTCATGATTTGAACAAACTTGAATCTACACTACCTGAGGATGCTTCCATATAAATATGACCAATCATGGCTTTGCTGTTCTTGAGAAGAAGATTTTTAAAGATTTTTCCTATATATGCCTATGTAAAACTTTGATCGCCCATTGTGGCCCCACCCGACCCCCGGGGGTCATGATTTGAACAAACTTGAATCTACACTATCTGAGGATGCTACCATATAAATATGACCAATCATTCTTGAGAAGAAAATGAAAATGTGAAAAGTTTACGACAACGACGACAGACAACGGACAAATTTCAATCAGAAAAGCTCACTTGAGCCTTCGGCTCAGGTGAGCTAAATACAATAAACCAAAATATTAAAGTTTTTTCCTTTGCCTTCACATTTGATACCTGGTTATGTTCATTGGAGAGGGTATTTGAGAAGTGATTCACTTATCCGGATGATTCATTTATCCGGAAGATTTTGTTGGGGACAGAGGCGTCCAGATAAACGAGGCACCACTGTAATACATAAACTTTATGAAATAAATGGGTTTTGGAAAAATCTTATGGTGAAAAATTACCGATATGTAAGTCCTTTTTATCAACATTTTACATGGGTAATGCATTAAGAATATTGTAAAAACATTGATTTGACAAATCTAAAAAGAAAGGGTGGCTTGGTGGGTTAAATGTACCAGAACATAACATGTTTAGTACCAATACACCTGCTCAAGAGTTCTTGAAAAATTCTATATCAAAGCCAGGAACCTTGCCAATTTCCTGAACCCAATCATTTTTTATGACACGGCGGGTCAGCTTTTCACCCGATTTTTGGATTAAGTTCGTAAATTAGTTTGCACTTTTAACTTTCAGTTACAACCCATGCTTGGATCTAGGTAAACAATACTGATGGCTTCACACAGTAGGCTATGTACCGTTAAATTATCAGTGCTGGTGGAAGCAATTAACTGGGAGCTGTTTTGCCAAATCGAAGTTTGAAGTCATTATAAAATGACTTCTGCTAGAATGATATCATTATTAGGGCCAGCAGGAACAAAAGAAAAATAATATTTATGTACTTATCGAGGAATCTTGGAAAACAGTTTTCACCAGATAAAATAAAGTCAGACCAAAGATAGTGTGGAGCTAACAGTACATTTAAGGTTCATAAACCCTCTGATCACTCATGTAAAATGTTTCTTTAACTCTTATGATTTTCCAAAAGAAATGTATTTTTGAAGTAAAATACAAACAATTATAGCACAGCTTGCAGGGCAAAATTGGACAAAAAAGACATTTCAACTTGGCAAATTTATAAAGGAATAATAGACATTTATGTCATTAAGAGTTATCTCTCTTATCAGAGTATCGATGAATCTTAATATATATTGCACTTGTAAATAAGGTCTGGAGATGTAAAATAACTTCAAAACTAAGATTAGAATGCTTTCAAATTTAGCTCAAACTTCCCATGTGCTTCAAATCATAATTTACAATGCAGATTCTGAAAAGGCTTTCATTATTTTAAAAAAATGCACACATAATTCAGGTCAATACTGAATAATGAAACCTTCCTTCAATGTCCTATTTACATGTAAATTTAATTAATGATTTTAATATATATATATATATATATATATATATATATATATATATATATATATATCTATATATATATATATATATATATATATATATATATATATATATATATATATATATATATAAGGATATCAGTTCTTCAGCCAGTAAGGATCATAACTCTTAAATTGTCATTTAATTACACATAGCTCACCTGAGCTGTAGCTAGGAAAAAAGCAAAGATCAGTTCAGTATTGAAAAGTTTTAATGCATAAGTGGTCCCAACCTACCCCTAAAAGGGGAGGGGGGGTATGATTTCAAAAAAAAAAATCGAATCTACACTAACTAAAGATGCTTACATATTTCTTTGTCTGTG